GGGCAGAAATACACAGCAACCTCCACAGAGCTCTTTTGCCCCAAACCCCCATCCCATTATTCAAGGCAGACATCTTTGTTTTCATACAAATTTTGCATATTTCAATTTAATGACTAAAAAAATTCATTCAAACTTATCTTGTTGAAGCAACTTATTTAACATCCCATGCACAATACTATATTTTGTTGCAACTGTTGTCAGACAGATGCAAGAACAACAACCAGAATGAAGAATCTGAAAAAACAAACAAAAAACAACAACAACTCTGCATGCTTTGGTTTTAAGAAATTCATGAACTGAGAGATAAAGTAAATTACATGTATCATTCTGGAAGGGGTTGCAAGTAAATTTCTCTAGCTTCTGGACTCCAGTGAGAGTCATTACACGCAAATGAAGAAAACAGAGGCAAACCCTCTTGGGAGTATCCAGTATGCCAAAATTACTCCAAAAGTGTGCCAACAGTTCACTCCAGAAGTCATAAAAATAACCCAAAATAAAGTCGAAAGCAATGCAGGCATTAGTTAAGGTCAGTGATTCAACAATGAGGAAGAAACTTAACAAACACAGCATTCACGGTTTCAAGGCTAAAAATACTGCTGACCAAAAAGATTTAAAAGCCCATTTCAGATTTGTGAAAACATCATGATGATCCCTAAGACTTTGAGGAAATATTCTGTAAGCTAACAAGAGAAAAGTGGAACTTTTCGGAAGATGTGTGTCAGGTTTCATCTGTACTGAAACTATCCCAGCAGTTATTAGACTCTGTCTATGCACACTCAGTCTGCTTCAAGTCCCTCAGAGAGAAAGCTAATTGTAATTGTCTGAGCAAAGTATACAGCATCAGCTGCTTTTCTCTTCACTACACAAAACATCAACTTGGCCTCAATGCCCTCAACAGCTTCTTCTTACAAACGTTTGTCACTGTTATCTTGCTTTCTAAGTTATTTTACTTTTCTTCCTTCTTAATTGAATCCACAGGACTGAATTCCAACAGCAGGAGACCAGAAGAGCAAGGAGGTTGTGTCAGAGGTCTAAGGTTGTTTTTTGACCTTTGACCTCTGAGAAGAGGCCTATTGTGAGGGGCTTTTAGAGGTTTGTGTGTATCTGGGTCCAAGTTTTTTGGCTTAATATACATGCAAAGAGACATACTTTTGGTGTAAAGATATCAGAAATTTATTTATTATGTTATGCCAGAGTAAAATACATTTACGTTGATATACTATTTTTTTAATTTAATTCAAACAGATTATTTTTTTCCTTCCATGAAGCCCACAGCCACTAAACAACCTGTTGATCTACAAGACTTTTGGTAAAGGATTTTCTGGCCTGAGACGACAAAATGGAAAGGTCATTTCCTGTTACATCTCCTGAAAAACTCACACGGCATACCAGAAAAAAAAAAAAATAATCATCATGTAAAACGTGGTGGTGGGAGTCATGCATTTCTTTCGAACATTACATATCGAAAGAAATCAGAAATTCTATTGGACAAAGTCCAACCAGTATATGAATAAAGAATTGCGTTGTCAATGTCTGGACTTGTATTTGATTCAGGTGATTTGCTTTGACTTTCAACAAGATGTTCATGTTACTACACCATTGAAAGGGCTGAATTATTTAAAAGAGAGTGTCAAAATTTCTCTGATTTCTCACACTTATTGCGAACACTTGAATGCAGTTGTTTCACCTAGCGCAGCACAACTGGTTATTAGATTTAGGAGATGATTACATTTCCACCTAGGGCCAGTTCCTTTTCCCTCAGCATTAGAAAACATTTGAAAATTGTGTTTTGTATTCACATTTGACATCTTCATCTGATGTAAAAATTTGATGATCTGAAACATTTAAGTGTGGCAAAAAGTGAAAACGGAAGCAATGGGGACACAGCAACAAGTGAGAGAGCAGTGAAAACTGAATAAAGTAGTGAGAGGTGGGGAGCTAAAAAGCAGATGTTCAAGAGGTCTACCACCCCCATCTTCATCATCGTCATTATTTCACTGGTACTAATAGCCACTTATCTGAAGATGAATGTGCTTGGCTGTGTAGGAATGACTTCACTTGATAAGTATTGTTCCAAAAGGTTCTGACTAACACTTAGTCATAACATAAGGCATTTCTTTGGCATTTCTTCAGTATTGTTAATGTAGTCTAATGTGGTTTAGAAACATATATTTCCACAATGAAACGCAGTCTCTTCAAGGTTTGTTTGTTTTGTTTGTTTTTTACTTTACCTTTGAGTCTTACCAAAAAACAAATAGATGTGTCAGCAAATATCTTTACTGATGACTTGGCCTGTCATTTCAGATGAGCAAGTTTATGAGTGCAAAAACTAAATGTGTTCCAGGATACAGTTATGCATTTTGTTTATTTATCTGAAATAATAGTGACAACTTTTGCACATCCAGTAAGAAAAAACTCACTCCTTCCTATACGTTCAACAATCCTTTCTCTTTATTTTCCTCCCATTCTCTTAAATAGCCCCAATTTAGCCTTCTCTCCCCATGTCTGTTCTCCTAACAAGACCCACCGAACCCACCATATACTGTTTTTTATGCTGTGTGTGCATGGAGAAGGAGTCTTAGAAGGTGGGTCATTGGTTTGCTAGTTGAGTCAGCAGCTCATTGAGCTCATTGTACTCAAAAGGCCCTCCAGCCCAGCTGGACTCAACAAGAAGCAAGAACTCTCTTTCAATTCTCTCACCTCCTCTCTCGTCCCCTCCCCCCTTTTTGTTGCACTTCACTCCCCTACCCACTCACACATAATCCTCCAACTCTTACCCAGAGTAATCCCAGACTCACCAAACTTTATTTTTCTTCTTTACGGACGTAAACCCACTTAGCTTGTTTACAGCCAAGGCTTGTTGATTTACTAAATAAACACATGGTACAAGTTTTTTTAAGGCGCAAATGTCCTGTTGTTTAGAAAGACACTATAATAAAAAAAAAAAGCTTTCACAAATCATAAACCTTCATTTCTAATGTTGGAAAGCTAACTAACATTACATGTGATATTATTAGCATACAATGGGGAGTAGGGAAAGTATTCAGACCTCTTTAAATGTTTCACTCGTTGCAGGCATTTGCTCAAATCAAAAAGGTTCATATTATTCCTCATGAATGTACACTCAGCATCCCATCTTGGCAGAAAATAATCAGGAATATGTAAATGTTTGCAAATTTATTTAAAAAAAAAGAAAAACTGACATATCACATGGTCAATTTTTTTGACCATGTGATATTCGTTTTACACCAGGGATCAGCAACAATCCAAGTAATTCACATATACATGCAAATTAATCCATAAATGAAGTGATAGTCTTCAATTTGTGGCACTCTTTATGTTTCAAAAGGAAATCAGAGCAGAAAGGTGGCTGATCACATCCTTTAGGGTGTGGAGATTTGACCAGTGGGACACACTCATCTCTGGAACGGTTTAACACACACTTTCAGACATTAACAAACACAAGCATGCCCACCCAAATGCACACAGAGACACACGCACTTGATGGGGACCAGTTGGCTGGGGTAAAACAAAGTTTTTTGGATGGCTTTGTTCTCAGCTGACTACATCTTTCGAGGCGGCTTGGAGGTCTGAGTTGAAGTATTAGGGATGTTTTTAGTAGAACATTTAAAGACACAGTCGAATGCTTTTCAAATGTTACATTTATTTTTCTTTGACAATTTCAATGTGCAGGCCGAAGAAAAAAAATATTAGAATAACCTCATACTTTGAAATGTTGTCACAATCATAACATTGTTTGTCTAATTGTAAAGTGAGTTCCCAGTTTCTTTCATGATGCCTATACTCCTTTGCTTGAGTTGTTGCAAACTAAAATAGCCCTCACAAAATTTGAGACAATTCTTATGAAGCTTGTGAGCGTACTCCTGTAAATTCCCAGTAATGCCAGAGATCTGGTAGTTTCCCTCCTAGTGAACCTGTCTGGATGTGTCTGTTCTGCCTTTGTAAAAACAAGCCTTATCACCTCTGATGGTGGTAAGATTAGGTTTTCTGTGGCTTCTTTTCTAGTTAGCCACAGTACTAACTAGAAGTCACGTGGTGTTTTTCCAAGACTGAATTGTAGGTTTAAAGCCAGTGGAAGCTCCTAGGTACAGTGATGTAAAGTTTTAACTTGCTATAATATATATTTCCTTTGCCGACGTTCCAAGAGAAAAAAACAAACTCATCTCTGCGTGTGAAAGTGTGACTTATATTTTCATGGCTCAACTCAGCTGCAGTGGAAATTTTCACACATCTGCCTTTGCCTTTGAAATCAAAGACATTGCTTGCTTTCATCTGTCTCAGACTGTCAGGCTGTCTCCAGAGGCAGTCATCCCTAACCATATGTCCAGGTGTCTTATCTGCCTGTTTTCTTCTGTTTCTTTCTGGTGTGAGACTACGTACTTCTACATTTCTTCAGTCTATTTCAAGTAGCTCTTTGTTTTCAGGCTTCTTGGTGTGGCAATGCTGTTATATGGATGGGACGCCCTCTTTGAGAGAGAAAAAATCAAAAATATACACTCATATGATAGCTTATCTCAAAATCAGTGAAAAAATAGATAAATATACATATATTTTATTCAGTAATATTTTTTGTTTTTTGGGGGCAAAAGTGGCTCAGGAGGTAGGAACTGTGGCTACAATGTTGCTTAACACCATCAGGTGTGAATGTGGAAGTGAATAGAATAATTAACTATAGTTTAAAGCTCTTTGGAGCCCACAGGCTTGATAAAGCACCATACAAATACAGACCACCATTGTTTTGACAAGGCTATGCTAACACGACTATTGGAAGAACTGCTAACATGATAGTCAATGACACTCAAGAAAGAGTAATGCTTAATACAGTCTCCTTCATAAGAACCACATCGCTCTGAAAAAAAACATAAATACACATTTTTGTTCAAGGGGTTTTGCTTCTCCGATTTGGTGTCCTGCATGCGCTCAGACTCCAGTGGGAGGAGCCAAACGGCGCTGTTAGGTTTTAAATCCACACGTGGTCTCCGTCCCAGGGCTTGTTTAGCAGCAACTGCTGAAAACTTCTGACGAAACTCATGCCAACGCACTGCACACGTCCGCCGCAGCAGGGGTAAACTGGACCACACAGAGGCGAGGATGCCATCTCACCCTCTCAACCAGTTTTCCGAACTGGAAGACATAATGAGCAAGGTAAAACGAAGCAAGGGGGCGGAAACGCGCAAAAGAAAAGTTGAGCGGAGGACAAGTTGGTTAGCTAAAACTCTGCAGGGTGCTAACATTAGCTTTTTTTAGCTGCTCCACGAACTCTACAAATAGTTTACTCGCTTGGGGCTTTGGGTTTTCTTTCCTTGCGTTGCAAAAAGGTCGCTTTCGGGGTCCACGGCCGGTTTCAGTCCTGTTGCTGTTGGTTGTTTTGTCTGCTAAGTCGAAGCTAGGCAGTCGGAGCGTTGTGGCGCCTGTTCAGCAACCTCTTCATAACAGCGGCCTATCGGCAAACTGAGCGACATTCTTCCAACTTTTCATGCTTAATATAGCGCTCAATCTATTCCCCGCCTTTTCAGACTGAATTTGAAGCTAAGAGGCCGATTTAAAGAAGTAACTGCCAGCAAGTTTATTCAAAACAGCGAAGTCAAACTGAGTTGTAACTTAGGATTTTTCCTCTTCGTATTGAGCTGCAGTCACTGTGCGCCTGTTCATATTTCTGCTTTGCTTATGTTGCTTGTATTGTAGCTCGTTTTAGCTTCAAACCCAAGTTTCTCTGTTTCTTTAAGCTTATGTCCAGAGCAGCAGCACATACCTCTGGTGATAAAACTACTCTGAAAATGTTTGTTTTTCCTTTGGCTTTACAAACCATCCATTGCATTCTGCTTAGGCTTGTATTAACAATGTTTGTTGATTATTAAGAAAACAACTTTGTTCTCCTGTGTGCATTTCTTTTAGCTGAGGTGACTAAGATCAGCTTTTCTAATCTTTTATTGATTCTGATTTAAACAACATATTTTTTAAAAATTCTGATTTGTTTTTTAACCATGCAGTCGCTGGTCAGGATGAAGCACCCACAAATCATCCAGTTCCAGATATAAGCTAATTTTTGGTGCATCTCTGCTAAATGCACCATGTAAAACAATAATATCTCTTTCTTTCTCAATTTCTGACCCCCTTCTGCACTGAAGGGGCAGTTATTAGGGTTAAATTTATAACAACTGGCACTAATAAACTGGTGAAGTTTTGGCTTCAACTCTGACCTGAGCTAGAGGAAAGAACTGTTTTCATCAAGAGCTGGAGGGAGGCTCATGGAGTAAAGCAACCAATCAAAGTGTTTTGATCGCCATGTTTGAAATTCTATCTAAGCACAGCCTCAGTTAAGACAGAATGCAGTAAAAACACTAAACCTAACAAGGGGGAAAATTTGGATCATCTCAGGCGCAGCGTCAGCCCTCTGGTCCTGCAGGCGGTCAATTTAATTTTAAAATTGCATCGAGCTGCACTTGGAGTGATTTTTCTCCAGGAAGACCGTTTGTAACTCCGTTCTTAATAAGAAGGGATCTATCTGCGGGAATGTGGATGTGTACGAATCCTCTCTCTCTCTCTGCACTGCGGTTGTTCATAAAAATAGACAAAACACAAATGTACTGTCGTGGATACAGAGTGACTGCTTTGTTGAGGGAAACCTTAATGGACATTCAGAATCAAACCTTTTTAGTTCGCACCCATGTCCTGTTTACAGATGTTCTCCACCAAACTTGCTCTGAGGCCTGTTCGCTGTAGTTTATTGATTGCAAAGTTTCTGGGAATTTAACACTAGTTGTTAATTCAACTGCACAGGGATAGGTGCCTTGCTGCGAGAAGCTGTTGGACAGTTGGCTGTCCAGATGTGAATTTCCTACATCTGCACAGCTGCAGCAACACTTCACTGCTCACTGCCTTACCTTCTTTGCCAAGTAAACCAAGACAGGCTACTGGTTAATATTTAAAAAGTGCTTTAAAACACTTTAAATGGTGTTATTCAGCAAGTTGCTATAATGACTAGCTGCCATGGAGCAGTACCTAAATAACTTTAATAAAAAAAATTCAAAAGGTTTGCAAATATTTACGTTATAGAAATATTCATATAAATCAACGTAAAACATTAATCTACAGCAATGAACTGGTTTCTGAATAAAAGTGTTTATCTTCTAAATGTCAAATGACAACAGTAACATTTTCACTAAGTTTTTAATGTCGAACTAAAAGGTGCATATTGAAAAAAAATCTCTGGTTTTAGGATTTAATTTTTTTTTTAATTACACTTTGATACAGCTCAAATATTTACCCATACACATCTTGCCAATTTTGGCTTGCAGTTAATAATAAAAAGTCAAAATTTGGCAAAATTAGAAAATGCATTGCATTTATAATAGAGATTTTATTATAGAAGTTTGAGTCTAAACAAACTACGAAACGCATTAAAAGGTATTTGCCATGCATCCTGCCTATTGAGTGCTTGATGCAAAAGTTGAGTGGAAGGAAAACGTGTGTTTATCAACAGGCTGGATGCCTGTACATAATTAACCAAATATAACATTTTATCTATGTCTTGATAAGCTAATGCACACAACGGTCAGCCATTCATGCTCTTCATTTTGATTAGTAGATGTACTCAGCTGGTTAGATCAAATGCATGTTAAGAAAATACAGTGACATATCTGCTGTTGATGTAGAAAGAAAAACCTCCAGGTTTCTATCCTTTTGACCTGCTGATTCTTGTTAAAATTGGAAATGTACCATCTCTGATCTGTGGCTGAGTGAATTGTGCACATCAAGGATGCTTTTTTGTTGAAACACAGCAACAGATTGAAACCCTATGTAATGATTTCCAAAAGGTCTGCTTCTTTTGTGTGAAATCATTTTGGGTAAAAGTAAACAAAAACTAAATTGATTTGCAGCCCAGACCATTCAGACTGCCTCAAATCAGAAAGCGAAACAGGGTCAAAGAAATACTAATGTTGTGGTTAAACATTTTAACACGTTCTTTTCCTCTTTTTTTATTAATTTTTTTTATTTTTTACAGCATTTTCTCAGTCTTGACCTTGGAGAGCAGAACAGACCGCCTCCCTCTGTGAACCTGGCCATGACTTCTCCGGGTTACGCCAGTGATCTGTGCAAAAGCTCCTCGTTCTCTCTGTCCAGCCTCCCTGCTGATTCGTCAGACGGCCTGTTTCTGGCCTCCAGCCAATGGGGGCAGCCGTCAGAAAGCCCGTCATCCTCCCAGCTTGCTGCTAATTCCAACCAGTGGGGAAAGTTTGGTTTTCTCTCCCAACGTTCTGTGAGCCTGGTGGAGACGAGGAGCATGCCGGCAGCAAGCCTGGACTGGCCCAGCGCTGAACTGAAGACGTCCCAAAGCGACATGAGCCCCACTGCCATACAAGCCGCCGCTGCCTCTTCGTCACCCAGCTCCTCATCACGCTACAAAACCGAACTTTGCAGATCTTTCACAGAGAACGGCCTGTGCAAGTACGGTGGGAAGTGCCAGTTCGCCCACGGCCCGGAAGAGCTACGTGATCTAAACAGACATCCTAAATACAAGACGGAGCCTTGTCGCACCTTTCACACCATCGGCTTCTGCCCGTACGGGATCCGCTGTCACTTTATCCACAACAGCGAGGAAGAGAAAAAAACCGCCTTTTCTCGCTCGTCCTCGTCATTCTCCTCCACCCTTAATGTTTCTCACCAGCCAGCAGGTTCCTCCTCTTCTTCGTCCTTGCGCTCTCACAGGCCGCCTCTGATTAGGCACAGCTTTAGCTTTGCTGGCTTTCCTTCCGCTCCTCAGCATGTCCTCCAGTCAGTCTTAACTAGCCACACCCCCGCCCCCTCCACCACCGCCGCCTCGTTTACATGCGGCTCATCAGGCTCTCCCGCTTCCTGTGCCGATATCACCGACCTCCTCTCCAGCGCCTTCCTGGAGATGGACTCTGCCTTCGAGGTGTCTGGCGTTCAGCAGTGCCAGCCCTCAGCGGGCCACGTTGCCCAAACCGACCTGCGCTCCCACTTCCTGCCTTCCCCCGACTCGGGCTACTCCCCCAGTGGACTGTCGCCCACCAGCTCACCCTCCCTCCAACAAAGCCCCAGCAGTACCGACCATCTCCTGGGGTCGCTTGATGCCCGCTCTCTGTCTTATACTTCCCTGTCAGATCAGGATCAGGATGGCGGCAGCTCCACCAGCTCCCTCAGTAGCTCAGAGTCATGCGGGGGGAGCAACGACGGCAACGGGAAGCGCTTGGCGGTGTTCAGCCAGCTCTCTGTCCCATAAGATTGCTGCTGCCTTCTGCCTAAAAGCAGCAGAGGTTTTGAAATGAAATGTTCTCACCTTTAACCTCAGTATATTTTCGCCTGACTGACACATAAGACGTTCTTTACAAACGGCGTGGCATTACAGAAGACGAGGACTTGATGGCAGACTCAAAACACTTTATAGAGATTTCCCTGTGTAGATGTATGTGGCTAAATTATTACCCCAACACGCACAAGCCACACTGATGCTTAAACTAAAGAATACATATCACCGTAGTAGTTTTACTTCAACAAATGGGCTTTTATTCTTTACCTAAATAGTTTATATGTGCCATGAAGACAAACAGCCAAAAGAAATCCAAATCAGTGTGATATGATTGATTTGCTCAACCGCACTATCATTCACTTGTTGAAATGTTTCATGAATGGTTTGCAGTATGTGAAGCCAAAGAGGACATGTTTTTGCAGCTCAGACTTCCTAATTACGGTCAAACAAACGGTGACCAATGTTCAGGAGTTTGCTCCAATAACTGTAAACAGTGTTGTTTATAAGCTTGTGAAATAGTTTTTTTTTTTTGTAAATGTGCAGTCTGAGGTTATGTTTAGATTACTGGCCTTAAACCTGTAAGTCAGAGGGTTGTCTGTTTTTTTTTTTTGTTTCTTTTTCTTTTTGTTTTGTTTTTTATTTTTTACGATGTGCCTGTAATGTTTTTATCGGGTCCCGTTACGTTGTTGAACAAAGATTCTGATTTGTTTGGAGAGATGGAAATAGGTTGAGTCTCAACCTTTTTTCTTGGAAGCATTAATTCAGACTATCTTGGTATGCGTTGCCAGCTTGTGGGCGCCACTTGCATGCCTAACCAGCACGTCTAAGCTACAGTTTGAAGCATAAACGAAATGCCAGCTATTGGCATTTGGCTTTAGCAAATGTTTTAGGTGCTAATGTTGTTTTGAATTGAACTTTGACACAGACTTTGCTATTAGTGAGTCTTTGTTTTTGTTGGGTTTTTTTTGTTTTTCTTTTTGTCTTTCTTGCTCTCATCCATGGGTGCACCATTACATCTTCATCAAATGTTTTAGTGATTCTCATCTTGTTGCATCTCTCCATCATTCAGTGTTAATCCTTGCTGTTACGGCTTCATACTGTTCTTATAAGATCCACTTGAAATGTGTCCGTTGCCTTATTGAATTAGATCCGGCATACTGTAGACGTTTAGAGTACGTATGCTTAGTGTTCTAGAAACATTACTCGGCTGTTTTTTTTTGTTTGTTTGTTTTGTTTTGTTTTTTTTTTTTGCTTTTTTTTTTTTTTTTTCGTGTGTGCGTGTGTTTACAGTAGTTAGTTAGACGAACAGGCGTCGTGATGTTCCTGGTCTATTTAAGAATCGCCTTTTTCGTCGACAAGTTTGAGACCTGTTTAGAGATAAAGGTGAACATCTTTAGTAAATTAATTTCTTTAATTTATTTTAACGTATTTATAGAGGACTTCTCAGTTAATGCTTGTATCGAGTTTAATATATTTGGGTTTCTTCTGCCTTTTTCTACTGAAAATAAAGTTTTTCTTTTTTAAAAAATGTTTCTTTGTTTCTCACTTAACAGATATGCTAATGAGGCAGAACCTATGATTTCCCTTTGCTCCATCTTTTTGCATAATCTACATGTGTTGACTTTGTTGCAGGCTGCATGCATCTGCAGACTGCATGCGGCCATTGACAGGTTTTTAGGTGCAACAGGAAGGAAAGAAGGAAGCAGGAAATGACTTGACTGTCATATCTGTTTTCAGTATTGACTGCAGTTCTCCAGTGACCATGAATGGTTTAAGTTAAAATATAGAGATTAAGAGTAGAACGAAAATTTGTATTGTCTTGAATTTTATATTTAGTTGACTAACTTTTTTTTTTTTTGCTCTCATCCTTATTGGTCACAATATAAAGTTATCTGTGAGCATCCAGTGCAAAAGGACTATTGAACATTTCATTCTTAAATTTAAAGAGAAAAATATTTTAATACATGGCTTAAATGTTGAGACATATTTTTACTTTTTTATACCATTACTTGAACTTTTAAAGGTGAGATATTCACATTCTTTTTCTTGCAAAAGTGCATGTATGATGTAAGAAGTGCACAAGTTGAACAAGGATGGCTGATGAAAAGGATAACCATGATGGTTTTAAATCTTGTCATTTTAAAACAACAACCAAATACTTTGAATCCACTGTGTTTACAAGTTCTTTACTACTGAGCTTCTATAGTCTGCTCACAAAGGATTATTTATGGGTGAGCAGGAAGGAAAATGGTACATGGTGTCCCCCAATATAAATAACAGCATTATATTAATTTGCATTCACAATATGTGGAAAGTTTTTTTGCTGCAGTTTTTCTTTTAGCAAAAAAAATAAAAAAAAGCTTTGTCTTTGGTAGCACCACAAAATTTGAAAGTATTTTTTGTCAGGGATCTCTGCATCTTCCCCAGTATTCAATTTTTTGATGCATCCAGTAGGTTTTCTTTGAGGCTAACAGTGTAACTTTACTGCCTCTGCTAAAGAAGAGCAGAGAGAGCATGCTGTTGCCCACACCTTCTTTCATATTGGGGATGATGTTTGTTTTACACCTCATCATATGTTGTATATCAACAAAAAAAATTAAGTTCTTGTCATTTTTAGCTGATCATCTTCCACAGGCTTCCTGCATTCCTTTTCTTGCAAAATCAAATGTGTTATCTCGTGGGTTTCTTTCAGCATTGGCTCTCTTTATTCTTTCTGTACAATTCGAAATCAAACAGCCAAAAAAGATAAAATGTGAAAGTGAAACAAAAAAAACAAAAAAAAAAAAAACACCAAGGGGTTTATTGTGAAATTCACCTCAGTGAACTCAAAAACTACAACTTGAAATATTCAAATTGGCGAAAAAAATTTCATGGAAAAAAATAAACTAATGAACGAAAGAAGAATATTGCAAAGATTGGTAAACTGTTACTCATACTATACAACATAGCTGAATGCTACAATATAAATTATATAAAGCACAGCCTATCAGAATGAGAAAGGAAATATTGCACATTGTTCACATGATACTGCTATTGCACTCGTTTTGTTATACTGCACAAGTATAAACTTGTAATAAAGCAGTGAGTAACGAAACGAACAAGATCGTAACAGTAAGTTTGAGTCATTTATACCCATTTGTTCAAATATGAAACATGTATAAAGAATGTACAGAAATTTAACAGCTTGGTTTTGTGATGGCCTGGGATGGGGGAACAAGTTAAACCTGGTTGTTCTGAACTGCTGTAACGTTTTCCACAGGATAGACATTAAAACAAACCATATGCAGTGCGAGTGAAATCTTTTATGATCTTGGTAGATCTGTTCTGGCAACAGGGAGTTCTTGAACAGATGGAGGTTAAGCCCAGATGATTTTATGTATGTAGTGGAACTGCCACTGAACTGAGACGCTGCAGTTCAGTGTAGAAAGTTCAGCAGATGGACAGGTTTCTCTTTTAAGCCTTTAGAGTTGACATACAATTCAATTATAAAAATATGTTTTCTATGTGGAAATAAAATGAAAATGATTTTTTCCAACGTATATGGTTTTTCTATTAAAACACCAAGAAAACCAGAAAATGAGACCTCCGATACTGCATCCAGTTGAGAGATAAGAACTGGATGTACAGTTTAGATTTACATAGATTAAGAGAAACAGATTAAACTTTTTGTAGATTCCAAATAAGCATTAGTTTAGTGATGATAGCTGAGAAAAATTTTACAACCAAAACAAATTGCTATCATCAGCAAGAAGTACAAAAACCAATGCATTGGATCAGACCAGGGATGTCAAACTCAGTTTCGTTTTGGGTCGTATCAAAACTGAATGTTCTTAAAGGGCCAGTTCTGCCAGAATATATTACAAAACCAATTAAACTGTTGTCAATAAATAGGATTTTATGATTGTTTTTGATGCTCTTGGTAATGAAAACACAGATTTTATGGTGTTAATTTAGAAATATTTGTAAGAAATTATGATATCAGCACTAACATATGAATGCGTATGTTGAAAGTGACTTTTTATTACTGGTTATATAAATTACTATAACTTGATACCATATAAGGCTGAGACAACAGTCAGTTAAACCCAACGGTTCTTACCTATTTTGAGAAAAAAGTGCGATAAAATGTGGGGATCTGTTGATTTTGTGTGAATTTTTAGTATTTGTGAAAAACTGGAGGGACTTATTGATGTAATTTGAAGTCTGGAGGGCCACATAAAAAGCTACGGTGGTTCAGATCTGGCCACCGGGCCTTGAGTTTGACAGGGGGGATTAGACAAATCAGTTTTATATTCAAGAAATAAGTGTTCCCAAAATGGATCTTTGTTGGATCCCAGGACTTATAAGAAATTGTTGATCAGGATAATTGCCAGAATATTCTTCTGCAGGAACATTTTTCCTGCAGAAGGTGAGAGTTTTGGTAAAATTTTGTCATTTACCATAATGAATGCCTTTTTCTTCCCCACAATGAACTAGAGCTCAATTTGCAGATTGTATGATTAATGGCTGTCAAATCAACAATTTTACAGGCAATCAACAAGGATTTTTGCTGCTTTTCTAGACTTTCCAGGCCTCTAGGCTGTTCTTTGGTTAATACATTCTTTATCCTACCGATTAGCTTAGTTGTGCCATACTTTCATTTTCCAATGACTGCACTGTGCTTTTAGCCCAGGGACACAGTTTTACAACCTGCTTTTAACTTCTCCACAACTTTCACCACCTCTCTGCCCTGTTCCTTGATCTTCATGATGTCCTTTGGTCATTAATATTCTCCTGAAGTCTTCACACAGCAGCTGCTTATACTGAAGATTCATTACACACAGGCGGACTACATATTGATTACTTAACTTCTGAATGCAATAGTTTTAAATAGGAACATCAGATTAAAGAGTAGATAGAGAGGATGAAGTAGATATAAAACAGATGAAGGCCTTTTGGATTTTTACTTGTAAACACTTTGGAAAGCCATGTGATGCCGCCGTTCTTACACAATTATGCATTTGTCTCTGATGGTTTCTAACATAATATCCAAAAATAACCCAATATAACAGTTTGTCATTTTACCATGACAAAATACAGAGAAGCTCAGGATGTGTATGATATTTATTCTGATATTATTTCCACTTATACTCCTTTTTACTTTCTTCCAGCTCAGCTGTGTGAGGTGTGACCTAGTTTAGTCTTCTCTAGTCTAATGACCAAAACATGATTGAAGATTGTTTAATTTTCAGTTTTCAAGGTTTCTTGGTTAAAACATGGCAGAATTAGCCATGTTTGGCATAATATGTATAAAATATATTGGTGCCTATCATTAAGGGAATGGTTTTCTTAAGAATCCTCATTATTGACTCATAAGAAGTCTTTATTTTGCACACACTCAAGCTCTATTATCTAGACTCTGCAACAGCAGATGGGTTGGCCTTCCTGGGAGTGATTGGTTAGCTGTGCAGGGTTTAGAGGCATGTGTGTGCTTGTATGGGTATGTGGCATTGTTTCCTAGAGACATTATCCCACACTCCTGCGCTGCGGGACAGAGGAAAGGCAGGCAGATGGCTGCATTCAGGTCCACCACAGGTCAACATATGGGCCATAGAGACAAAGTTTGTGTTTGTGTGTCTTTGAGCCTGAGCATCCCGCCATGCATGAGTGGAAAAAGTTGAATGAAATAAGAAAGGGAAAAAAAGGTGAGGGTGGGGGAAGATGAAAACTGGTGAGAAAAGAGTTGTGGGAGAGTTTGAGAGGAAGAAACTTTGTGTCTTCCCATGAGATAATGCAAATTAAGCCCAACAATATGGGTGTACGAGGACCTGTTAGTGCTACCATGCATTTTATTAGCTCTGACCGGGGCTCATTTTCATTTCCCGAACTCAAACAGTTACCAGAGAGATTTTCTTTAGTGTTGTTTCAGCTAATCCCAACTAATATGATTAAAAGCAAATCATATATGAAAAAAAGCAAACAAAAAACAAGGTGTACAAAAGCACGATAATCGGTTGTTATCCCATTACCATCTTGCTGACATTAAGAATTTTGCAGTTCAGTGATTTCAATGTTCCAGGACTTTGTTTTAGCTAAAAATTGTAAAAATAAATAAATAAATAATAAAAAAAACTGGAGTAATCTGGTTGCATAAAATACCCGCCCTTAAGGTAATGCTTAGCATTCACACTTCTGTGGTAGAAAGTGTAAATGCTTCTGCAGGGATGATGCATCATCCCTGCTTGGCTCTGACATCAGCTTTCTAACAGTCACCTGAACGATTAGTTTTTTTTTTTTTGTCCCTCAAAGCTTATTTGTGTCTAGAGCTGGTAATTATTTCATACTTTGACAGAACCCCAGTCCCTCCTGAAGAAAAGAAATCATGATATCGTCACCAACATGGCTCACTGTGGGTAGAGTGTGTTTTTGGCAATGTTCACAATTGTGTGTTTTTGACAGTCGATGGTGGTGACACTAGTAGCAGTTTACCCTAATTGGAGTGATAACCAAAATTTCCACAAGGTTTTGGGAGACTTTAGCAAGATCTGGATGTTTTGTTTGAAATGCAAGACTATACTCTTTGGCCCAGATATATGGGGAATATTGGAGTTTGTGTATTTATTTTGTATCACTGTTAATTGATGGCAGGTGTTAACTATAAAAGTCTGATTGCTGAACATGATTTAAATAGTTTAGCAAAGTAGTAGTTTCAGGGGGCAATCACTTATGCAACCAGGACTTTTCTGTGTGTCCCACCTTTTCCTGCTTCTTGAGAAGTGAAGGACTCAGAGAAGCAGTCACAATTGATCAAACAAGAGATTTAAGGAACTTCAAGAGAGTCTATGAAGAGAAACCTCTACTCAAACCTCTACTCAATTTAAAGGGTTCAATAAGATTTGAACTAAAGATTTGTTACCCATAATACAGTCAAGAAAACCCTAATCTTTTAAGGGGAGGTATGTGCTCCTTGTTGTCAGAAATAAACAGGTGATGAGAAATTGTTCAGTCTGGACAGCATATTTCTGCTGAACGTTTCTGAGTGCAGCCCTTGAGACTCCTATGTTCAGGCCCCCTCTGTTCAGGCTCCTTTCTGAGTCTATTGGGCGACACAAGGGAGGGGAGCAAAGACGTGTAGGAAAAGGAGACAAAATGTCCCTGCTGAGCCGTAACTATTGTCCCTCAGTTTTATTAGAAGAATCACTCTTCATATAACCCTACTTCTCAGCAGAGGAATTTGTTTGCAGGTGAAAGGAAACACTGCCTGAAGACCACTATTACACTTTTGTCATCTTTTTCTGTTTCCTTCTCCTAACTCTCTGCTTCCAAGAACCTCCAATGAAAGTCTCTTTTCTTCCTTTCTTCTCCCTACAGCCTCTTTCCAGGCTCTCCATTTTCTCCATCTATTTTTCTTTTTTGCCCACTCTCCTAATCTCCTCCTCCACCAACTTTCTAAAACTCTACCCCCTCTCATTCCTCTCATTCTCTAATCCCTCCTCCTGATTATTTTCCTCCTCTCAAGAGAGGATTTGGGTTGTTTAATGGATTGCAACGAACAGAAAAAGACTGAGCTTAGCTGTATGGGAATACAGACAACTGAGATTCCTAGTCTGTTTTTCCTCCTCCTCTGTTTTTCTATGGTTGAGTAAAAGTTTCATAAGGGTTACACTGTGAAGATTTACAAGTGAAAAACAACTATTTATGGTATATTCAGCAATTTTCTTTAATTTCTCTTGAAAGCTTTAGATGGCTCAAGCACCCTTGTTTCTGAGACGTTCTAAAAGGGGAACACAACACAGCAATGAGAGCAGTTTGAGACAATAGCATTGAGAATAAAGAAGTAGTCAAGCAATAAAATCTTTATCATCCACACGTACAATTAAAAAAATACAAATCGAATGAAACAAGGCTTAAAATATTCTCAATTCACAAAATCATCTTTAAAACCTTGAATTGTGTATTGCCCATCTGACAAAAAATAAACCTATCAAGCAAAATGGTATTTTATGAGTTATAAAAATAAAGAACACATCATTCTTCACTGAAACTGGACATTTTTAAGTATGCGTCCCATGTCTTTCTCCCTAGAACCAAACCAAATCTCCTTTGGTGAATGTTTATGTTGCTGATGGAAAACCTGACAAGATCACAACTGGTGTTACTTTCCTTTAACTAAAAAAAGAACAAACTCTTGTCAGCAAAAATATGATTAAAAAAAGGAATACAAGCATTTGTGTAAAGTAAAACTGAGACGTGAGTAAATAATCCCTCGCACCTATGATGGCGTCATGTGTCGCCATCTAGTGGCTGAAAGAGGCTACTGCTTTAAAAAGATTTTTTGAATGTAGTTCTTCTACCAAACATGACAAGATTTTCATGGAGTGTTAACATTGTTTATTACATCAGTTTTATTAAGTTTATATAGAGAAGTCTTGTTTTAAGACCCTATGACTGAATACAAATACATTGTTATGGAACATAATGCAGTTCAAGAAAGAACTTTACAAACACGAGAAAACATATAATCAGGTTAGCATTCTAAATCTAGTATTTGGTAGAAATAGTACTTGTATAATCATTTTAGAATATCAGGCTCATTCCCAAACAAGATCTGATTCTAATTATACATTTTAATGCACGCTTGACTTGGGAACACAAGATCTAAATCCTTTTAAACCAACATGAATCCAAATTACTACCAATTGATTGCAGAGGCAAAAACACCAGACAGAAATGCAGTTCTCCCATGTGTTTTTTTTTATTTTTTATACCTGTTCTGTTCACAAACTTTATGATCACTGGGCACATACAGAAATCAACATTTAGCAAACAATTTGCTGTTTAAGCTTCATTGGAAATTCAAGTGAAATAAACATGATGCAAGTTTAGGACATTAACTTTGACAATCAAGGAACAAAATATAGGAGCAATTTCTGACACACTAGTTATAAAATTGACTTTTAGTTTGCTTTTTCACCACATCTGCTGATAAGCAACACTTTACGTTTAATATTTAGGTCAAGCAATTTTGTTCCCAAGCAAGGGTTTCCCAGTTAGTTCATTGAAGCAACCTCTACAAATTATGAATGTTTAGACAGATTTAGTCAGACATTTGCACTGGATAAATTGTTCTAACATTTAGCTGATCAATCAAATACTTTTAAGAACTGATAACTTTTTATATTACTCATTTTAAATGGACAAGCATTTCAAAAATGAAAAAAAGAGGAGAAAAGAAAATGCACAAAACCAAAAGTGAACTGAAGAGCCTCCAAAGTGGGCTGTTGAAGTCCAAACAATGTTTTGGAGGATCTGAGTTGACCCATCCATCACCCACTTGACCCATTTGTGATCATGTATTTCAATGTCCGGTATGATCAGTGGAAATACAGGTACATTCCTCCCAACACGTTGGCACCATTTATGTGTACCGGGCTAACCCAGGCAACCGCATCACAGCTTCTGGATGACCACCTGAAACTTACCTAGAAGAACAAGAGGCAAAAACAAGGGAACCATTATTATAATCTACACAAAAGTAAAGTGACAAAAATGGTCAGCACAGTTAATGAGATGATCTGGGCTTACTGATCAGTCAGAGCACATTTATCTTGGAGCAGTAATTATTTCTTTTTTCAAGAAAAAAAGACACAATCAAACTTCAGTGGTCTCATTTAGAAATGTCACGTTTATCCTGGTTATGTAGGTTGCAAATTCTGAGTCTTATCAGTTAGGGCTGTTAAAGGAGCACTTCACTGAGACATTTTAGGGGACAATGATTGGTTAATGACTCTTGTTCCAAAATGCTCTAGTTGATCTTAGCAAAGCATCAGATATGGTTGACCTTAAGGTTTCACTGAAAAGGCTGCACATTCTGGCTATTAGGACTGTACAATAAATCTCAAATATGTTGCAATATTCATATCACAAAGAACTATTTGGAGTGCAATAATATTTTTCAAATATTATGAAGTTGTGGTTTCACACTAAAGTAGTAACACTGCTGCTGTTAGAGTCTGACAGCAACAGAGTCTGATACTAGAAATTAATGACGTTGTCCAAAATGCTAAAGGTCACAGAACAATGGAAGCACAAATGAGAAGAGGAGGGAAGAAGAAAATTGGAATATGACAACTGATATTTTCATCAACAACATTATCACCAGCTCAAAATTTTCTGAAATTGTGAAGCTCTTTCAGACAAAAAACACAACATTCACAAAAACAGATTAAATCAGTTCAAGTTTTATTCAAGTAATCTGTTAAAAAAAAGTCACTTTTTTTTTCTCAAATTCCACAGTTAGAGAAAAAAAACACTGTCTGTTTTTCCCCCCAATGTTAGGCAGTAATGCTGCCTGTTATCTCAGAGTACATCTCTTAAATCAATGTTCATAACCTGTGATGTTCCACAAGGTTCAGTTGTGGACAAATTAATATAATCTTTTTACATCCTTTTATTAGATAGCTATATATAAACTGATCAGACAGCTATGTATCAGATGATGAAGCCCACCTGGTGAACAGGCTGCCCACTCGAGTCCATCATTAATCAGGCTTTTATCCAGAGGTGTGATGTAACTTGATATAATTAGATCCATTACCTCAACAAAAAATAACTCATAAGCAATTTAGTTGCTTGTGAGTTTTAGTTACTGTAGCTAACTATTTTAGTTACTGTTTGGATCTGTGAAAATATTATACCTTAGTCCTGCACAGAGGAACAGAAGTAATATATTGGACACTTACATGAAGGCATGATGGAGACCTCAGCTGTCACCACACTCTCCAGCCCAAGGTTAGACAGAGCTCCTCTCACCACACCACAAGAAAAAGCAAGATACTGGGAAAAAGAATAGATTGATCAGCTACAGCTTAGCTAAAATAAACTGATTTCATAAGCTGCGTGTCATAAAACATTTTATCTGCCTGTTTATGTTAGATTTAAAGTTAACAGCAGTGTACTTGAGTGTTCAAGGGGATAATGCTGTACCTTGGGGGCCTGATCCAGATACTGTTTCCCACCGGAAAACTGAGTCAGTAAAGTAAACTTGTTGTCCTGTAGAACATAGGTCCCCTGTGGTGCAAAATACATGGTAAGGCTGTGCTACATTTTATTCTGGTCATTCACATTTGCTAATGCTCTTCTGAAACACACACATTGTTATAATTTCCCTGAGTAATTAAAAAAAAAAAAAACTATTTTAAAAGATGAACTTTACAGACTTTTGGTTTTAGTTCAAATGCTGTTTGTCATTTATAGGAGCCTTGGGCAGAATTGGAGGCTTTGATTTCTGTACAAAGCAGTGTCTGGTTTGACACAATCTTCAGCACCATAAAAAACATTAATTTAATCATTGCTGTTATTTTTGAACCAGATTTTTTTCAATTATATTTTACCTGATGGTTTGTCCGGAGGTTATCCACTTGTCTCCTAAACACCTTAGTCCAGAAGTCTTTACAAATAAACTTCATAATATCCAACTCATCCTTAAAGCTGGGGGTGTCTCGTGTCAGTCTGCAAGCAAACATCAAATCAAATACATATTAGAAGGGAGATCAGTGGTCGGATATGCATCGACTGTTAAATATCCCTTATTATGAACATCACCTACCTCTCAATGAGACCTTGTCCCACCCTGAACCCCATCGCTTCTAAGAGAGATATACATGCCGCTCTGTCCTTGGGTTCAATAATATGTAGACATACAAGTCAATTCGTTAAAAAATGCCACAAAATATCTTGTAATTTGGTATTGTAAATGCTACACAGAATTAAGAGAGGAGAGAACAGACTAAGCAATTACTTAGTATGTATTAGTATCCAACATGTCCAAATGTTATTATCCACGTATTATATTTTTTGTGTTTTGCTAACTTTGCAGCTTTACATTTTATCTAAGCGTTTTTATTTTTGTATATATCAATGGATTAGGGATACGCAATTGCTTAAAGCTTTCTCTATATCAGAAAACACTATTTGACTAAATGAACAGACCTTGTTGTCCAGCTCTCCTTTATTCGACTGCTGTTCGTTGAAAATGTGCGAAACAATCTCCATATGGAGAAACTCAAACAAGGAGTCGTCTGCCATTCTGTGAAAATACTCAAAATTAACATAAAGCTCTATGAAAGAATGTCATATCAAGAAAATCAGATGTAAACATTAAAATCCTGTTTATCTGTTTAGCACTAGCTAGCTAGATTTGGTGAGCAACCGGTAATGACATATTTCTTAGCATAACAAAACGGGCTATACGAAAACGTGGTAGAGAAAAAAAACAATAGAAGGATCACTTATAGAAATTAACCACCACAAATATCGCATTAGATTCAAATTTTCACTACATTAGCTTACTTGTCAAACCTCCCGTACTCTGCTAGCCTACTTCTGCTTCTCAGGTTGCACTCGATATATCCGCCAGGGCACCCCGGAAAAAGTATGCAGGCGAGGTTAAATGTATTTTAATTAATTTATAGGGATTGTCAACAGGAGAAGAACCCTGTTTATGCTTCTGAAGACTAGGTATGTAATAAAAATTATCTAGTGATTGAATAGCCTCCCTGATACCAGATAAACAGCAGGTCCACATCCAGATGTAGCTTCCGAGTACGCCGGCGTCAAACACAAACCTCTGTAACATTTCAGGAAACCAATCAAAACACAAAGCGTATTTTCATGCGCTTCCCGTCTTCGATTTGATTGGATCTCAGAAAGAAAGCTACTTCCTCGCTCATGTGATTTGTTTTCGATAGGAAAGGTTGGATATTTTCTGAATTTGATTCTGTTCATATACCCATTGTGTAATGCAAACCCCCCATTCTTTATATTTACAATGTAGTGACGATTTCAAAGTGAGTAGTTTTTCCGCTCATCCAGTGTGGTTTTGTTGCGTCTCCAGCCATGTCCAGCAGCAGATACCCGATAGTGGTGCAGGGGGAAGCCTCTGAAACGGACTCCGATGATGAAGTCTACATCACTTCTCTGACTTCTCACCAAACTACCGCAGGAGGAGCCAAGGTTAGCAAATAGAAATACTAATAAACTTTGAGCATATTTTTTTTCTGAATGCGCTTTTGGACGCTGTCAGGTTCCTGGGGAAGCCTCGGAGACGGACAGTGAAGATGACCCTCAGCAGGCGGTCAGATCCTCTGTAATGGCTCAGGAGAGTGCTCAGATACTCCAGAGAGAGCTGCCCCCTCTTATTGTGGTCCGAGACAACCCCGATGTGCAGTCCATAGTAGAAGACAGGCCGAGCCCTTCACACAAGCCTTATGGTGAGGACCCATACATCCACAGCTCTGTTTTGATGCACAGAGGCAACAACACAAAATCACCAATCTAATCCCTGTTTTGATGCTGGCTGTGTGTGAACAGTGTTAGGAAAACATGCCATTGTAAAATAATGTATTAGTCTTAAGCTTTGTGCATCTCTGTACTTCATCTAATGTTTTAAACACCATTCATCGGTATCTGCTATGATTGGTGGTGTTGTTAGAATAACCTAGAAGTTCTTTAGCATGGTGCATTCAGTAACAGGAATTTCCCAGTTCATCCCAGATTAGGGTCGCTCAAGCTTAAAATTGTCCAGTTCAAGTCACCAATGAAATTCTCTGGGCATCTCCAACTCCAGCATTTAGCATTAGTTTGTTGGCTAACATTAAAAAGCCTGACGACATTTGCATTAGTCGTGTAATAAAGATGGATTCAGACACTGTCTCCTCTGAATCTAAGAGGAGTCTATGATAAGTTTCCTGTCTGATATTTAAAAATTTATTACACAATGTGGTGTAATAGTACTGCTCCAGAACTTTATTGGGGAATTTACTGAAGAAGGCAAAATCATTTTCACAGATACCACCATGTCAGTGGCATTGTAGGGGGAAGGACAACTTTAAAAGACATAAATATCAGATTAATTTCATAGAACTTTATTTGTAACAAATGGTTTTTATGTCATCAACCTAACCATATCACACAGGGTTTTTGTCCACTAAAGTTTCTTGTTTGGTTGTTTTTATCTATTAGGCAGTTGTCCAGTTTCAGTCCCTACTCTGTTTATAACTTTGTTAGCAGGAGATACCCTTCTACAGCAGAAGCTGCAGGAGTCCAACAGCCGGCTGTATACCGATGTGGGACAGAGGGTCCGACAGGTTTACGGCAGTGCCAGTAAGGAGGTATGCTGTGTTTCAACTTCAACCAATAATTTGTCAATGAATGACTTACTAGTTATCTAAAGTCTTTCTTCTTTATTGCACCACTTCTGGTATAATTTGTCATCTAATTAAGATGAAACAATTCCACACATAAATAATAAAGTCAAAATTATTCATAACCTTTGCAGTTTCAGATGTAAAATATTTTTGATTTAACTTGGTCTGGATAGGAAATGTGATGGGCATCTCTCAAAAGATAATAAAGCAAAATAAGATGAACATATATAAGAAAAAAATATTTTTTACTTTATGTGTAAAAATGCTTCATCAAAAAATATTTATTACTGCAATAATTACTGGAAAAATCATTTTTGGTATTATAATATTCAAGTCATTCTTACATTTGCTGACCAGCTTTTTCTGCTTCCACTGTGTTTCACAGTGATGAACTCTTCACAGTCTTTGAGGTTGTAAGGCCTCTTTGCCATCACCCTAATCTTTAGCTGAGATCATATTCAACTCTGTATCTTGACTGCGCCACTCCAAAAACATTACTATTTCTTTCAATCAGCAGAAGTATTCTGGTCAAAATAAAAAGTAAAATTCTCCCAGAGATAGGAATTATTTTGTGTTTTAATAAAGTAAAAGGTCTGACATGCAATGCTGACATTAGAGCTGATTGAATTTCTTTGTGCAATCTGTTTCATGCACTCAAACGGTGGGCAATAAAATATAGTTAAATTATGTGGCTACAATCAAACTAGTTTTAATTTCTACTGGAATCAAATCCATACAGTAAGAAGTACCTTCTCAGTTTATTGGTTAACTGTCTGTTTGTAAATTAGGTCCACAGTGTGACATCTCAGCTGAATGCGTCCCAGAGTGCCATCATCAATGCTTCCCACAGTATCAGATTAATTCTGGATGATCTGAAGGCTGTGTCCGAGAAGATCGACATTATCACCAGCTGCCAAATACTGCCTGATATTAACATCAACCCGGGTCATTTAACTTCACCTACACCCTAATAAATGCATTGCAACTGACTGAAATTATGACATATTTTCAAACAGCATCATACAAACACATATAGATTTAGTAATTTCAGAGTAAGACACAAAGATGAACTGTATATTGTTTTACTTAAGTGGATGCAAACTGTCCCTGCATAAAAAGTAAAAAAGTGTTTGGAAGTTGCTTTCTGTTGAATTTAACTGAAAGTGACTGTATGCAGTTTTCTGTTAATAGAAATTTAAGCGAACATGTTTTTTTTTTTTCTTCATTTAAAGCAAAAAAAAAAAGTCTACTTTTTTTTAAAGAATATATTGTACATTTAAAACCTGAAGGATTCTAAATAAAATGTTAGTCTCTGATTTCTATGAATGCTGTGCAGGTTTTTGATTTCTTTTTTTTTGTGTGTGTATCATGTATGTATTTTTGTTGTTTTTCAAAAGAGAATTCTAGGGCAGATGAATATTGTTGCTTAAAAGAAAACCATAAGCTAAAAATCAAACAAAATTGATAACCACAAAAAAACATCATAATACAAAAAAATCAGTAAGTGACCAAGACACATTCACATAAAGAGTCATTAAAATAAAACTCTGAAGTTCAAATTTATTATTTTGTAAGACAAGAAACAACACATGCTGTTGCAAATGCTATTACATTATCAAATATCACCACAATATAATATCATGTTTATGACTTCTGACTCTCACGCATTCACAATTCACTAAATACACACCAAATACATTTTAAACTGATGTTTAAATAAGACACAGTAGATTAAAATGACCAGTCACAATTACAAACATCTGCCAAACAACCAATTAATACAAGAAAATGTACTGCAACCCATCAGTAGATCTACTTATGTAAGTGTTTCCTTGTACTCTTTAAACAGGGGTGTAGATATACACCAACACTACCACCAGCAGGTTGAGAACGGTGCCTACAATACCCACAATCCCAAGTAAATGATCTGGGTCAACTCTGCACCACTCCAATGTTTGGCGCAGACTCAGAGCATCAGCTGCCTGAAATAGAAAGTAGAACATAGATGCACTTATTAAATGTCTTGTAGAATTGATGGCCCCATGCAAATAGCGCTGTTTCACCAGAGCCTTGCTGAAGTTGTGCACCACACAGTGGAAATGTGAGAAATGTAACAATTGTTTTTCTAACAGATTCTGAGGGTTTCTGAACATTTTTAATATGTCTTTGTATAACTTAGGCTAGTTTTTGATAACTTTTGTCAAAAGGTAAAAATTGAATGTCAGTTTTTGACGTCCTGGCTACCATGACCACCCTAAAAAGTATAATGCTTTACATTTGAGCAATCAGGTAGCAAATCCTCAGCTTAATTCCTCCTTATCACTTATTTTCTGAGTTGTTTTCTAGTTCTCTTCTTCATACTCTGTGTACAAGGTATTTGTACCTCTTGGTAAAGTAGGTAAATATAAGCAGTGATGCATGATGTCCACCTTAATGGACATATGATTAATGGGAAATCCCAGCTCATGAAAAATCAATTAAAGCAGACATGGGATGGAAGTTTATTGTGCACTTACGCTAGTTATCCAGTAGATGGTAGTGTGTAGTGTTATAAACCAGAAACCGTTGAAATGCCTCTGTATGAGTAAATCATTCACATTCACACATGACCAAGAAAAAGGTTCAGAGTGTAGTGACCTCTAAGAAAACTGTATCCCTCTTTCTCCTCCTCCCACACATATTTTTGCGATACAAACCATGTCTTCTATTAACAGTAATCCATAGCGGATCTTTGGAAACCTTGTCACAACATGAATGACACAGTTTGTGCTCATGTATTTTGTTAATCAAAAAGAACAAAATACAAAATACAGCTTACATAAAATATTTAATAATTTAGCAAAATGTGATTTTCAACATGCATTGAAAATCCCAAAGTCACAAAGTCTTGTGTCAGGCATTTATAATTTGATAAAGGAACAACTTTCAGATAGAGTTCACTCACATTAGATAGCTGTTTCAAACCTGACCTCTCTGGTTCTACTTGTCAACTTTCCTCTTCTTTTCAATCTACATTATAATCTAGGTTGTCTTATTTAGGTAGATGGGCTGTGAAAATTAGTTTAAAAAGAAAAAAGCTAAAGTCCTCAAAATATTTTGAAGCTTATATGCACAACAAATCTGGAACAAACTTCCAGAAAACTGCAAAACAGTCAAAACACTAAATATTTTTCAAAATCTAGACTAAAAACCCACGTATTTAGAGTTGCTTTTGAAACATAATTATGAAACGTTAATCAATAATCTGATGTGTAATGATGGCAATATGTAATGTTGACTGTGTTCTATGACTTCATATTTTTGTGCTCTTATGATGTAAATCACT